CCATCGCTGTATTTGCTCCAAAGCAAATATTGGCCTTTCTAGTTATTATTACTCTTGCTGCTCCTGCTACTACTACTGATGCTATTACTACTACCACTACTACTACTACTACTACTACTACTACTACTGCTACTATTACTACTGCTACTATTACTACTGCTGCTACTACAACTATACTACTACTACTACTACTATTTCTACTGCTGCTGCTGCTACCACTACCACCACCACTACTACTACTACTACTACTACCGCTGCTGCTGCTGCTACTACTACTGCTATTACTAATACTACAACTATGTAGGTAAGGAAATTATGTAGGTGTCGCTACATCGTCTATATAAAGCGACGAGAAACAGAGTTTCCGTCTGCAGCTCTGAGAAAGGTATCTAATAGACACAAAAACGTCAGCACTCTTGGTGAGACAAATGGTTGTGTAAATAATAACTCTTGTAGACATTAAAAGTTAACATTTGCCGTATGAGTGATTTTGTGTGTATGCAGGTATGGTGCTGTAAGTGGTGTTCACAAGATCAAGTGTAAGGTGACAAGTTCAAGTGAAGAGATGGAGTCTGAGGACAGCACTGTCACTGTGCTCCCAGAAGGTTCTCCGATATTTTTATAAAAAAAAATATCTATGTAGTTTTATTCTCTTATCCTATATCATTCTAAGTTGACACGACTGCAACTTTACACCGTTGTACATACACAACACTGCCCACAACGTATTTCTGGTGTTGGCTGATTACGACGTAAAAACATATTAGGATATACCATTATAAACAATTATTACCAACAAAAATGGATAGTTTTTAAAGTAATAAAGTATTAACAAAATATTTTCTGGTATGTTTTTTCAGGCACATTGACGTTTGTTTCCAGTATCAGGATAACAGCCAGGGACTTTACTCCCGAGATGGCAGACCCGTGTTCAGCTGCTTTCAAGAGCATCAATGAAGAGATAAAGAATTGGGTGAGACAACAGTAACTGTTTCAGTTAGATGCAGTGATAACAGCGTATGTTCTATGTACTGCGCAAACTACTGATGTGCTACTCAAACTTTTGAGATGCATTACCTTATAATCTGTGAGAGATATTCTGTTAGAACCAGAATTCAAATACATTTGAGAGCAAACCTGCTCAAAATCTGTTCGGAAAGTCCCTCTACATCTGCTTAAAGCAATACCCCTTAGATTGTCCGTTCATTGTTCATTATAAATTTATAAGTTAGAATTATTTACCATATACTAGTATCTTCAATGTAACAACATTTATTTAAAAATAGTTTAGCATTTCTCGCTTCAGGTCACAGCCTTTTGTTCCCTTATAATAAACCATTCTTACAACGTCAGTCATGTTTACATGTACTTTTGCATACAAAAGTAAAAAATTAAGCTTGACTGTTTAGATCGAGCTTTACAGACTTACATGTAACATTTTACACATTTGGAGTAAGGGTGTGGCGTTAGTACAATTTCATTACGATAAACAATAATATATACGAGAAAGACTTTTGAGTAGACTTCTCTTTCTTTCAGTATCAGCAAGCTGCGAGTAGTGTCCAAGGCCAGATATCAATCAGAGTGAAGGACGTAAAGTAAGTTTGTATTATGATATAGTAATTTTGACCTGCTTTCTTGACCATTTTTTTTATATTTTCATTTTTTTCCGCCACAGAAACTTTTAAACCATTTACTATCTAGAGGGAACACAATGGTTGGGTCATGGTTGAGATAGTTTTTAGTTGTTGCACAAGGCAGTGGATATAGAGAAAAAAGTAGTGTTCAACGACCACGTACTTTTGCCAAATGATACTAACCCAATAATTTACTAATTTTAAACATTTATCATTAGTGTTGCAAATATCCAGTGATTATGCAAAAAAATTCTTGAATTATATTCTTCATCAAGACCTTCCCGCTTATCAAATATGAAGACACTGCATTTATTAAAGCCTTTTTAATTATCGCGTTGACAGATGGACGGATGGACGGACTGACGGTCTGACCACACATACACTGATTCTTCTAAAACATAATATTCTTGGCGAAGGTAATTTACCGTAACTTTGGTCAATGTGTGACAATGGGTGATTTAAAATACCGTTATTAGCTTTACTTAAAACAGCCTCCAGTTCGACTCCGGACGTCTAGTTAAAGTACAGACTAATTCCCATATCTCAGCAACCGTTCATATAGATAAGGGCTAATATGGTAAAGTTTTGGTAAAAATAATGTAAGAAATATGTAGCATCCAAGAGGTTCCATTGGGTATTAACCCAATTCTGCAGAATTGGAGCCAGAATTCTGTAAACTGGAGCCAGAATTCTGTGCAAAAGTTTGTATAATTGGGTTAATCCACAAGAGCTCCTCCATGCCTACGACTTCTACATATTTCTTAGATTTTATTTCATTTTAGTTTACAACATTAGCTCAGCTAGATGGAGATAGGGCTTGATTCAATGTACCAAAAAAGATAATCAGAATGTAGTTTTTTAAAGAAGAAACTACACCTGATAAATTAGAAAATAGTTGTTAGTTGTCGCTTGCCTTGACGTACTTAAAAAAAACTGACCATCATATTCTTTTCCTGCAGACCAGGAAGCGTTATTGCAACCCAGAATGTAAATGTGCAGGATTCTGTGCTCCAAGAAAAGGACCTGTATAACAGTATCTACAACGGCCTGAGATCAGCTGCCCAGACTCCTGTACTTCTCGGTGTGGATCCAGAAAGTGTGACACTCTTAAGTGCAAGTATGTCTTATCCTTTTCAGCTGACAAAATTACTAATTTGGGACCTTCTCCTGGAATGATGCTATATGTAATTACATAAAAGCTTACCATTCTTAGAATAATACAATCTGTAACCTCATTCATGTTATTTTAGGAAATTTTGGGGAAAAAAATACAGCCAGGCCTATTTTCATGTAACCACTTGAACGCTGCTGAAAATGGTCATAGAAATACAGGTAGCACACAATATGTGCATGACTCTAAATGTGTGTAATTCAGCACTAGGGATAAGGACACTAATCTTTTGGGTGCCTCAAGGGCCAACTGTAATCAAAGTAACCACAATTTTCATACCCATGCATGTATACGTTATCGAGCCCTCTTTGTAAAATTATATATCAAGATAGGAGTTTTTTTCCTGTCCATCTTCTGAAACTCTGGGCTTATATAGTAAAATACAATGTACTCGTACTTTAATATATGGCTATGGCCTGGCTTTGGTCCAGCAACATGTTACGGTGAAACGGTGACTGTGAGAAACTCATCCTCGGATCGCGTGAGCCTGACGTTCCCAAGCTCTGCAGCAGACAAACATGTGTACTCAACTCAAAGGTGTGCAAACAACACGGAGAGTGGTAAGAAAATCTAATTATTAAGACTAATTCCATGCCCGTAGCCGAAGGGGGGGGTCGAATGAGCCCCCACAAGGCTCAAATGGTCCACTTTTATCTAAAGGTCCAAGATTTTCTTTAAAAGATGGACTGATTCGTGTCACAGTCGGGGCTGGAATTGTAGAAAAACTGTTCACTTTGCCATTGCACTAAAAACGCAGAAAATGCCATTTTAGAAGGTTCAATTTTCACACTTTTCCGAGAGGGCATGCATGGACCCCCCTCCCTGGAAACCCGCGCCTGTGCTGCTCCGTCAGACAGTGGGGAGACCCCCCTCTCAAAATCCTGACAACGGGCATGTATTCACTATATTAACTAAAATCAAAGTATTTACATTAGGCATCCTATGGTTTTGATAATAAACCAATGATAATATTTACGGTCCTTATGTTTCTTTGCGAAGTTAATAGGATCTAATAAAAGATTATTTTTTAATGTTTCATTCTTTTCAACCATGTCCAGCTGGAGTTCCACTGGCCGTCCGAAGGTGTATGGGGACTTTTCAGACTGGAGTTAGCTGGGCAAGCCCGGAGATATTTCTTTGTAAACTAAACTTATCCAAACTGGCACAGGTAATATACAAAGCATCAAAATTTGCTGGACTTCGTTGGACAAGGCTGTACGTTTGAATTTTAATACGTGTGGTGTTGTACATGTACGTGGTGCAACTAAGATGTCAAAACTGCAGAATCTGAAAAAAATGATTTTGGACTGAGCTGATTTTTTGGGACTAAAAATAGCTTTTGGATGCTCCATTTCTGCAAAAGTCTGATATGGAACAGCCAATTTCTAATTTGGTCGGATGGAATGAAATAATCTTCATTTGCTACTGATCAATTGTTGGCCTTTTTCATTACTTGAAAGCTTGCCTCCCTAAGAATAGGTACAATAAGCAACTGAACTGGTTAAACCAAATTAAATTTTTGATACTTTACATTGTAACAAATGCTACTTTTCACAAGAATACTTTATAATGTATACAGTACCTGTAACATTATATATCAAATGAAGGCGGCTGTAAAAGATACGTTATTTCTTGATTCTGCAGGTTCCTGTTACTTCCGATAATGTAGCAGAAGTTGCTGCAGACTTACAGATTCTGACGTCTTTGGGGAGATCACTTACTGCAGAAAACATCACAGACACCGCCACTGTCCTGGAGAACATCGTAAATACGGGAGGAGATGAGGATGTGAGTCCTAATATTTTAAAAGAGAATAATCAATCAATCAATCAAAATGGTTTATTGCTAAAATCAAGAACATTGCAGCAGAAAGCTGAATTACGTTCAAAGATGTACATTAAACATTAACGACTGCACAATCTTGGAGACTGCATATTGAAAAATATTTACATAATATTACATACATTTAGCATAGTGGAAATCAAATTTTAGTCATTCACATTAGTACTGTACATTTCAACATTACATTAAACTATTTCATATACAAATTGCACAGGAGAGGCATTTACAGAGTTACGAGCAATATCATTTCATTTCGTTCAGCAGTCTTAAGAGGGACGGTAGAGTGCTAATAATGACAATTAATTTGATTACAGGGGAATTTATTTTATGTTAGGGGACAGGAAAAGGAATGCATTTGATGTGTTTGCATTGGTGGCTAAAGTCTTTGTTCAATGATGGTGAGATCACCGTGAAAATCAACGTTTTTTAGATGTACCTATTTTCCATCTCTTCAAATATATAGCATTGCAGTTCAAATAAACATTAGAGAATTTTAAAAGAAACTTAAAATTAAAGTAACTCAAGTCCTGGGCAAAATCCAGAATAGCCCTTCAGACTTTACATTCTAGCAAAAAGAGGTAATTTTGGCCACACACACAACTTGTTTTATATTTTAGCTACACGAGTTGTTTTATTTTTATTTTTAACTCTGTACAAAACTGTTACTACTTTTCGTCATGTCTACTTGAACACAGGTTGGCTATTCCTTTGTTGTGTCAGTTGATCAGATGATGAATGCTGATGACGGCGTTCTTTATCAGAGTCAACTTAAGGATCAAGCTCCCTCCAGGTACAGAATACATGTATATTTCATATCATTAAAGAAAATGTAAATGTGACTTTAAAATTTATGTTGAGAAATGTAATGTAATTGAGAATATCCTCTGATAAAGGCACCCAAAGCGAGTACAGAGAAGTAACAGTGGATTTTTAAAGCATTGGTCATTTTTAAATGTAGAAGAATGGACTAACCCTCTCCCACAGCATGCAGATATCCTTGAGGCAAAAAAAAACGATGTCTCTTGCAAAGAAATGTTGGTTGTTTCGTATCGTAGGCTATTTTTTTTATTAAAACATACAATGACAGGACGTGGTGGCGAAACACTTATTCATATTGCCACCAGACAATACGTACATGTAATACAAGCCCAGATTTTCATACAGAAATTGAATACAACAATTTATCAATAAACTAGTGAAACACATACATAAACACCGACAGGATCGATGAAGACACTACAAAAACGATTTTTAAATTCCAGCAAAAATGTTTGCACATGCAGCAGTATTTGAGTATTTCCTAAGTAACTTGTTTTAATGCTATTTCAAGCACTGTAGGTATGGCACGTTGACGATTTTTTAAGAACTAATTCCAAACGTCAATGTCAACAAAGTTCCTCACGAATACTTCTTTTTGCCTCCCTGAAATTGCATTGGATGCCTTTAACTATAATGTTATTTATTTGTCGTTGCAGGATTGTACAGGCACTTGAACAGTTCAACGATCGTGTCAATTTGACAAATAACCGTTTTCGCCGCATCGAACCAAACATCGGGGTGGAAACTTACCAGATGGGAGCTTTGGAACTGATCGACAGGTAATATTTCAGAAACAGGCAATTCAAATATTTAGCTGTGAGTTATATGGAATTTTATTATCTTATTATTCACTATCTCCATCTTTCTGTGCTTGGTGACTGTGTTTTCTTTCCAAGCAAGATCTAAGAAATAAAGAATAAGGTGAAAAGACTAAAATGCATCCTAATAACAAGAAGAAAGAAGCTTGAAAACGTATGGTCCATGAGACCTAAAATGACATAAAAATTAGTGAATTGTGAAAACTGATAAACGTACGCTTCTTCCTTTCTATTTAAAATGTATAATTGTCTCAGTACCAGGACATCAGAAAAAAATCCTTTTGCTTTTTTTTCAGCGTTGGTTTTGCATCCCTTGAAGGTGGTGAAGACCTAGAGGATGGAATGGTACGATCCTACTCTGACTCGTCCTTCATCCCCAAAGATCGAGTGGATGCCTCCATATCTCTGTTTGAAGAGCTTAGATCAGTCGTTGCTTTCCTCAACGAAAACTTAATTGGTTGGTTCCTCATTTACTCTTGTTTAGTTCGACTAAAATAATGGCAACGGATTGAATTTCAAACTCAATACGTATTCAGCGTGGTAAGCTTTTAATTTCTTGATAAGGCATTTATCATGAATATTCTGGAACATTTAAAAAGTAGAAACCTTACTTGCATATCGATAACAGACACTATGTGCTTTTTAGGTATTTGAGCCTATGCTAAAAAGGCATGTAAATGGACAGCACGACTTATTGGCTCATTGTACGGTTGGCTTTATCTGTCATTGTGAAAATATGAATAGAGAAATATTTTCAAAATTGTTCCAAATATACATGTCATTTTTGTAGCATTTAACTTTGTACCACGCTTTAAATATAGGTTTCAAGATAGCATACTAGTATTAAACAGAAATGGGAAATTGAAATTGATTGAAATATATTTAAATGTATTTAAAAGATCCTACAGATGTGGAAGTCCGTCTAAGTTTCACCATCTATCAGAACAGCCGGCTGTTCCAGTCCAACCAGACAGCCTCTTCCTTCACCGGCACGAACACCAGGGTGAACAGCAGGGTCATTGCCAGTAGAGTCACGGGGTTCCAACTCGAGAATCTCCCCAACTCAGTAGTAACAAGATTCCTTCCTATCGTAAGTAAATCCATCAACTGTAAAGTGGGGTCTTGTGGCGTAGCGGCAGCGTGCTCGGCTCGGAACCATGAGGTCCCGGGTTAAAGTCCTGACATACCACCGATCTTGTGCCCTTGGGAAAGGCACTTAACACCGTAACGACTTTCCTCATTTCGCCCAGGTGAAAATGAGTATTGTATTGTCCCCTGTGTTGCATTTACCTTACCTAGACCGGGCTTTTTTTGACATGGCGGGACCGGGGGGGGGCTCTTTGACCCCCCCCTAAGAACTCGCGAACGGTATGTCGTATGACCACCAAATTTTCAGAGAATGGTGTACTAGTGAAAATTTATCATATCTACAATTTTTATGTCTTTATGACGTAATATGACGTCATTATGACGTCATTAATGTGATTTTATTGGCCAAAACCGTCTTTAGGTTTTTCCCTGAAAACTAAATGGTATTCAACATAACTGTACCGAAAGTGTTTATGACAGAATATTATGGTGTACTAAGTCCGGTGTTGCCCATAGCAACACCGGTGACGTCATAAAATGACGTCATGCATATTTAAGATATCCGCCATCTTGGATCATCAATCTTGAATTTTCAAAAATAGTTTTTTTTTCATGATAAAGCCTAAAATACAATGTAAACATACTTTAAGACCTTCATTTAAACCTTTTTTGGAAAAAGAAAAAGTATTGATGAAATTTTAATGAAAATAACCTGTATATACCTGTTATAATGATATGGTCCGCCATCTTGGATTTTCGCCAATGATGTCATCAAATTAGCATAAATTATGCATTTTTAATGATAAAATTTACATAAAATTATATGGGATGTTGTTAATATTAGAAACCATGAGTAACTTGACATAAAACCCATAAAATTCTATTGTTGAAACGAAAAGTACTAAATTTAGCAAAAACTGCCTGTCAGAAACCCGTTGCCATGGCAACACAGAAAATTATTATCTTATTCCAATGATAGAGAATTGTTGCCAACAATATTCTAGGAAAAGTCACCAAGTTTGGCCGTTCTACGGCTAGCCGTTCAGATGCTAGGTGACATCAAAGTTGCCGCGGGCACTTTTAGCCCCCCCCCGTTCTAGGTAGGGTTAATATAAGTTTTAAAAAAACAACTTTAGTTGCCGTCACCACGTCTTGTAAGATGTTTGTAGTCATAGTCTTTAAATCATATTTGAGAAGGATTTTATTGTTTAAGTTAAAATGTCACTACCGTTTTTTTTTTACATGACACGGTTAGTAGAAAATTCTTCAATCAGTGACTGTCTTTTGTAAGGTATATCACGTAACTCCAAATTTTCGGAGTCGACTGTACACCTTGATCTCGAAGTATGGATTTAAAAATTCCTCACTATTACACTATTTTTACGTACTGTTCCGTATTCACGGTGGAAAAATAATAATGGAAGTTAAGGAAACTGAAACGAAATCATAATAAAAACAAAATAAGATAAAAAAAACTTCCATCGCCTTAACTTTGACATGAATACAGTTCCGGATGCTGTTGTGCATTTATTTCCGGTAACAGATCTTTTTTTAAGTCAGTCCTTTTTTCACAGGTTGAGAACAGTACAAACACCACTGTAAACAACATCAGGTGTGTGTTTTGGGACTTCAATACTGGAGGAGGGGGAGCCTGGTCAACAGAAGGATGTGACTTCGCTAGGATTGACAACAGCAGGGTGGTGTGTGAGTGCAACCATCTCACCAACTTTGCTGTTTTGGTGGTAAGTCAATAGGAAATGTGTATTTATGGCATTATATTAACCGAAAGCAAATTTAGAAAATACATTTATCACAATATCGACTAAACACACACCTATGTACAGATGCAAGACATTTAATCTTCATTATACATGATTCTTTTTGAGTCACATAATAAGAGAGTAGATCTAAACAGAGATCTCTTTGAGGATAACCAACATAGCAAACTAAGAATCTAGACTATCTTGTATCACCACCTTCAATTTTATGCCCAAGAAAGCAAACACATTTATGTCAATGTTATAAAAAAAGAAACACCATTTTTAGATACACGGTGGTGAGAAGATTGTCATGTAAACAAAAGGCAAAAAGTTTGTAGAATTTTGTTTGATGTTGCCTAATTATGCCATAATATTTCAGGACATCTACGGGGGCTTGCACAGCTTCACATTGGACTTAATCAGTAAGATTGGAATTGCGCTGTCCATCCCAAGCCTGGCCCTTACACTCATCACTTATCTGGCATTCAAGTAAGCTGATCTTATTATCTTAAAATAAGAAGCATATTATATAATGTAGTCTCAACTGTGAGAATTCAATGTTTCTGAAACTGGTGTAAGTATTTTATGGTGCTGAAACTTATGTTAGCATTTCATGGTGCTGAAACTGGTGTTAGCATTCCACGGTGCTGAAACTGGTGCTAGCATTTCATGGTGCTGAAACTGATGTTAGCATTCGATGGTGCTGAAACAGATGTGAGCATTCCATGGTGCTGAAACTGGTGTTAGCATCCCATGGTGCTGAAACTGGTGTTAGCATCCCATGGTGCTGAAACTGGTGTTAGCATCCCATGGTGCTGAAACTGGTGTTAGCATTTCATGGTGCTGAAACTGGTGTTAGCATTTCATGGTGCTGAAACTCGTGTTAGCATTTCATGGTGCTGAATTTGGTGTTAGCATCCCATGGTGCTGAAACTTGTGTAAGCAGTCCATGGTACTGAAACTGGTGTTAGCCTTCCATGGTACTGAAACTGGGGTGAGCATTTAATGGTGCAGAAACTGGTGTAAGCATTCCTTGGTGCAGAAACTGGATTAATCAGTCCATGATGCTATAACTGGTGTTAGCACTCCATGGTGCTGAGACTGTTGTTAGCATTCCATGGTGCTAAAACAAGTGTAGGCATTCCAAGGTTCTGAAACCTAAAGTGATGTTTCTATGAGACGCCTTGTTTTGTTTTGTTTTGTTTTGTTTTGTCCAGGAAACTTCGTCAGACCAGACCACACCGCATCCTCATCAACCTGTGCCTGGCCCTACTGGCAACTCTTATCATCTTCCTGGCAGGCATCAGCGCCACCAGTTCTCCTGTCGGCTGCACTGTTGTGGCATTTTTCCTGCACTACTTTCTCCTGGCTGTCTTCATGTGGATGGCTGTTGAAGCTTTCAACATGTACCTGGCCTTTGTGAAAGTCTTGGGGGCGTATGTGTCCAAATTTCTCCTCAAGGCTGCCATCTTAGCATGGGGTGAGTACAGTAGCATCATATGTATGATTTCAAGTCACTGGCAGTCCTCATTAGACTGACCCAGCGAGGTTTGTCACGTGGCTTCTCTGAAGTGTAACACTGGCTCAAAAATATCCTGTGAACCATATCGGTCCAGGTCACGGTTGAGACTTCCCGGGTCAGTCTATTGAGACCAGAAGACCAGAGTGAATGATATAAAGCTCTAGGTGAGAACCACACTTTGTGTTGGATCGAAAGTTTCAACTTTAAACATGTAACTTACTACACAGATGAACTTTGATGATACTACAAGATATGATTGTTTCACCCATATTTTGCTCAACCAAACCAAATCTCGGAAACACTTTGGTATAATATCAGAATCACTAGAGTTACCATAATCCATCATATTAAAACTTTGAAATTCAACAATTAGGCCACAGCAAATAAATTTTATGGATGACATCCTTCGCAGACTCCGAATCTAATGCGAGCGGGCGAAAAAAAACAAGGCGGGTCCAAAAAAACAAGGTTCCTACATTTTCAAATTTTGACTCCATCACTTTACAAATGGTTTCGATTCAGTGGGAACTTCACAAATACACAGCCAACATCACATATTACTGCATCAAAGTAAAAAAAACAAACATTAAATTAGAGCTTTTCTTGACTCCTCTCTTCATAGTTATCTGCCATTTACGTTTCAGCATGGCAACATACATCTTTGCCCATTTTCGGCATGTTGTCCACTGTCAGAAGGCAGCAAGATTTCTTTTTTTTTCCAAAATCAGGGGAAAATAATGCGCGCGCGGATGTCATCCATAAAATTTACTTGCTGTGGCCTTATGATTCGCACTAGACAACCAGGAAATGCGTTGACTTTAACATGTGAAAAAAAGCAAATAATAAGGTAGTATTCCCTTTATCGTTCCTTACCTGGACTAAGATACTATCAATGATCGAAAGAATTAACGTGATATATATTTTGTGTACGATACATGGCGAAGTTTAAGGAAACAATGTTATTGTACTAAAGTGCAGCACTGAAAGTAAAAGCTTTCGTTTCTTAGCTTGATGTGCTAAAAGAAGTTTATATACCTTCAGGTCTCCCCTTTGTTATTGCCATCATCACTCTGGTTGCGGATGTCCCCAGCACCTACCCTGATGGACATGAGACCTACAGGAGTAACAGATTGTAAGTTCTAACATTGAAATTAGCGTTTTGATAACAATCTGTCATCCCTTCAGATTCGTACTGAATCACCTTTATCAAACCATGTGGAAGAAACTGTGCATGTATTGAAGACTAGGTAAACTATACGGTATTAAAAAATAGTCTTAAATGCCTGCTTTCTATGAAACATCATCCCTAAACCTTACTAGTAGAAACGTTATTATTAAGATCAGTTATGAAATCATAAGTAGGGAGGGGCTAAACATTATGACTTGTACGTATACACTACTGAATGGGAAGGTAGTTGTGCCATTAAATTGTCTGTTAGTAAGAGAACATACTATCAAGACTCAATGCATTTTTTTCATGGAAGAGCACCCGAATAGTGATAAGATTTTGGATTTGGCCTGTAAACTGAAAAGGAAGGAAAGGTCTCCCGTGCCCTTATGCAGAGCGCAGGGTGGTGCCCATACCCATTTCTGTAGCCCTTGGGCACAGTTGTGCAATGCACTACAGCAGGGGGCTAGTAGTGCTGTGTGTTTGACCTTCCCACACTCTTTCTCATGTGTGCTGAGTGATAAGCAGAGAAAGAAGTGTGCACCATTTTTTAAAAAGTCTTTTGTATGATCCGGTAGGGGTTTGAACTAACGACCTCCCGGTTACAAAGCGAGTACTCTACCAATTGAGCTATTGCACCGGTATATACACTGTAAACTGGCCACTATTGAAAATGTTATGCCTCCTCTCCCATCACTCGGTATCATTATGACTGACCTTTTCCGTTAAAGTATTGTTTACCATCTTTTCCTGACTAGTTGCTGGCTGCAGGGTAACCAGCTGTACTTCGGGTTTCTGTTACCTGCTGGACTGATACTGCTGTTCAACACCATCGTATACATCATGGTGATCAGCAAGCTGACATGTAGGGACAGGAATAAAGGTGATTTTTTTACACTATCTACAGGTACTTTTACCATGACTATGTTTTGAAGTTATGATTCTTGTAAATTTCCTCAGTTCATGTTCGTATTATTCATTTATTAATGTATAACTTTCAGTTATACTGATTCCATTTACATTTTTATATGTACTTTGTATAATCTATTATTCTTTTACATATTGTAATCTTCCTGGGCCTCCTTGGAAATCAGCTATTGGCTGAAGGGGCTACCCAGGTGTCATTGAAGATTAAATAAATAAATAAATACTGTACTAGTCGACCAGGAAGGTGCACTAAACTTCAAAGGATTATTCTACCAACTTATGGAGCAAAACATCATTACATATAATAGTACAGTAAATTTTCTAGGAAAAGAAGTATTGATACGAGTTTCGTTGATACGCTAAATCTTTCCAATGGGTCATTTATCGCAAAGTATTATTAGTTTAAACAGCTGTATATATCCCTAAGCACATTAACAATACATTATTTAAATGTACACGTATTATATTTCAAAAATGGCAAAGTGAAAGATTTACAATGTTTGATAGAGAGTGTAGAGACGGCATTGGCAGCATTTACTTCCCAGTGTATGTTTCACCGTGTAATGCCGTTGTTGCATTTTGAGTAATAAGTAAAATTTGTAATTATGCATGTACCTTGTCAATGTGTTTAATACTCGTATGCTTTTCGGTAGAAGGTGTTACATAAGCTTTTTGCCCAATAAATATATGTGAATAAATAAAAGTTTAATTGGACTTTTTACAGGGAAAGTCGGTGATCCTAAAAACGGCGGAACCAAACAGCAGCTGCGGATCGCCATAACCGTCATGGTGCTGGTCGGACTTACATGGATCTTTGGATTCTTCATGATCAAGTAAGTAGAGATCTAGATCTGCAGGATCTCACACTTATGTTGTGAAAACGTTGCTGGCTTTTAGATGGAACAAAAGCATCTGCGAGCCCAACTACAGTTTCCATAATTTTTAAAAACATTTTTGCACCGTAACAGAAGTTATCATGAAAGAATGAACAGTTATTATACACACATGAAATTGGGTAACTAAACCTTTCTAAGGTAATATTTTCATCATTTGAATAAATTTATATTAATCATCAAAGTTAAATATCATATGCTGAGAAGAAAACCCGACCCTTATCCATAAAATTATTTCTTGAACGGCAACAAATGGTAATGATTAATAGTCTTATTATCTGAATTGTTTTGCAGTGATGGTAGGATCGTCTTTTCCTACTTATTCTGCATTTTCAACTCCCTGCAAGGATTCTTCATTTTCTTCTTCCAGTGTGTGCGCCAAAAGGAAGTCCAGGACCTGTGGTTTAAGTAAGTAGCCTGAGGTATTAGTCTGCTAAAATTTTGAACTTCGAGTCCTTTAGAAAACTAGTAATTTTCTATCAAAAGACAGAATACCTAATTGCGTCTCGGAGAGGGAAGCTGGAGAGGCATCGGAATATAAGTGGGGTACCTTATGTAAGGCTTATTTATAGATATTACTTTATGTATTAGTCATTGAATGTTTATGTTCAATTAGGGAGGCTCTATGTGTTTGTTTCCTTATAGTGAAAATGAATAAAAAAATGTCCTTAAGTGTGTAATCCATGTACTCCATTACTCGTGATGCTGTTGAATAAACAGGTAACAACTTACGTATTTTGTTGCTGTTGTAACTGATAAATTTGTTTTTCACAGGATTGTGATGCAAGACTATAGTCACTCTGTGGTAGAAAAGAAAAATCATTTCTTGCAACAAAAAACGTAAATTCTGTAAAAAAAAGCGTCTTTTACACCACGGCAACAACTGCTAACAATATGTGCCAGATTTTCTTTTAAAAAAATTACAATTTAAATTTGCGTTAATTAAAACAGCTGCATAGTTTCATCAAATAAAAAAAATGGTCACACTTTGATTTTATAATTTGGTCCCTTGCCGTTCTCCTTACATTTAGCGTTTGGGGGTGCCCCGTGGACGAACATCGTACAGCCAAGTCTTCAGCAGGGAAGCCATCGGCTGACCAAAGTGAGTCCGACGCGGAAGGTTACACACGAGGACAGCGGAAACGCGATGCGCTGAAGACAGAGCCTGTGAAGATTCCTATGAGCAGTATGTAAGATACGATTTATTTAGTCATTGCTTATATGTATTAGGAAAACATTTTGTTTTTACTACGTTTCCTCTTCTTCTTCCGTTCCAAACACAAACCTCTGACCTGGCCAATGACCTGATTTTTTTACGTCTCTCACCATGGTAACTGGTGTTGGGTTACATAATGTTGCAATTTTATAGTAGGAGGGACTCCTGTCTGACAATATATATATGAATGTATTTGAGTATGAATTAACTGAGCAGACCATATGCAAAGGTAAACATTATACATTTAATTTGCAAATGTTACCTTTCCAGTTCTTATATGTATCAATTCTTATGTTACGTTATTTACATTAGATATAGCCAATACTACAATGTACATTATAGGCAATATTTTGCGCAAGGAACACCCTTCTGTGGGAATCCGTGTCTGTGATGTTTTTTGTCAATATTAATGCAATATCAAAATTCTACATAGAAAAATATTTATGGCCTATAAACAACTTTCATCATATTACTCTTTTTTGTCAATGTGGCATAATTGTCAATTAAAATTTCGTCCGTCATGTTGTAGTATGATTTCAGTAAAGGGCGTCTTGATTTCGGCAAATGAGAGAATGGCGCACAGGGGAAATCCAGTTGAACAAATGAAATTCGGTGCTTATTATGTTTTGAAAAAGAAATGCAAGTAAGGCCATGTTGATTTGATTAATGGCTGACATTCTTTAGGAACCTCCAAACTGATGCGCACGTGGGAATAACAAGTTTTGCAAAAGAGTTGCTTTTATTATGAAATCTTCGTGGTCATGAAGGCTAAACAAATGACACCAGGTATGGTTTTGGCCAATAAAATTACCCTTCAGATTCAATTCTTATTTTCGTTTGATTTTGGTATTCTACGACATGGGTATCATTTCTAATTTTTTTTGGAACTCACCGTATATATTTGCTCAGTTTCTGACTGTTTTGTACATTTTACAGTATGTTTGAAAACGTTTTTTAAACGGCGCTGATGTCATCCATATAATCAAATCAACATTGCCTAATACTTTTCAATTTGCACGTGAATATACATAAAAACCGAAAAATGGCTAATCTTTATATTATTCTTTTTCGAACTATAAAGGTTTGTAAAAACTTGTATTCCCAAGCCATTTAGAATATTTAACAGCTGCTGTATAATTATGTAAATGATTGAGCATTCAAAATAATTGAAATAGTCGTTACTTAATTGATAACAAAGCAGAAAATCTGTACTAAAGGAGCAGCAGATGGTGTAGCAATTGTAAAATATATTTATAAAGACATTCTAAGATCCACATGTTTTCTAGAGGCAGAGGATCTGGCATCGGAATTGACTTTTGTATCTTTTAAAAAAGCAAAACATTGGATGTTAAAAAGAAAATGTAAAAGATTACATGTTAAATTTGTTTAAAATGTTGAAATGGTAGAAATTATTAAAAATTTTAAAATTTCAAAAAATGTTAAAATTGTTAAAAATGTTAAAATGGACAACATCATATATTGCTTTCTATTACTAACCTATAGTTTCATTTTACCGTGTGATTTTTTTAAATTTATACTACACCATGAAGTAAACCCACCTTGTCTCTTTAAGCTTATACATTGTAAGTGTGGGGATGTATTGTGGCTTTTAATTTCGAGAGATCGGTTTGACTGATTTTCTTAGGTAAAATAATCCATGCATGAGGGAAAAAAGAATCTGATATGCAATTTTGGACTACCATACTCCATCAGATCGGATTTAAGAGTCATTGCACGAGAAAACCAGGCAGAGGTCGGAAGATGGGGGTCGGCCAAATCGACTCAAACTTTGTATGTGAGATAGGTATGGGGAACTATGAACAGCCATATATTTAAAACCCTCCAGATATTTTTCGTTATGGAGATCTGGGACCCCCCTCCGAGAGCCTCCGAAATCAGGTAATTTCTTTATTTCTTTATTTCTTTATTTGAATTTACCACATGCAAAAACAAGTGGAAGGGAGGACAAAACAGGTGTATCAACGCCTTTACAAGTTGTCCTCCCAAACCTGAAATGATAATACAAAACAATACGGAACCAAGTCAAACAATAAACATTAGGCATAAGACATCAAAAATCAGTAAACATGAAATATACAATTCAGTAAAAGTTATACAGAGAATTGATTATGTACAAAAATTATCAATAGTCTAATAAGTAATGACCAGCTAGCGAGACGAATTATGATACTAATGCGGCCTTAAAGCAGTGCATGAGGCACACCCACAAGATGTGGACCAGGAGCAGGGAACTTCGATATTGAACTGGGTGTCAAATCTCATAAGCGTGGCACTCACAAGCGATCGCTTGAATGTCAAGATGTTGGACATTTCAGAGGCTTGAACCCCAATATTACGGAGGACAGGACTCAGCTGATTCCAGATGGTGACCAGCCTTGGTAATATTGTAAGAAGAGCTGAAGGCTGATGTCCTTACTCTAATGGGGGTAAGCATGTGCGATCTGAGGTATCTAGAGGGTCTGGAAGGGAAGGATACATACTTGTGAACAATTGGTTTAGACTTAATAAACACCATGACGTCGCAAACTTCACGCCTGTGTGCAAGAGGCAACCCTGTACGATATGGAGGGACTCTAGTACAACATCTGGGCCCTGCATGGACAAGAACTGCCAGACTCAGAAGAGAATGGAGTCAGTCAAGGGAGAGGTTTCTCCACGGGAGTGAAATGGTGATTCAGGTTTGGCCATTTACATGAAAGTTTGGTACAGTGCTTTGATAATAAGTCAAGGTTAATGTCTACTACTGATTCTCATTTTAGATTTTCAGTCACTCTATTCAGGGCTTGAAATTCATTTTTGGGAATAGGTGCACTGGTGCACCCAA